TTTCAATTTTTTCCAGTAGAAAAGGCCCAAAAATGAGCCCTTGGTGCTTTTAACGAAGTTGAAAACTCGTCTGTAAGATATTGCACCCAAAAGTAAAAGAGAGAAGATGTTAAGGTCAGTGAGTTCGTTTCACGTGCATATATCTGACCGAATGTTTATTCTAATAAAAAATGAAGAGGGAGAAAAACAACAAAAAAAAAGAAAAATAGAAAAGGAGGACGTGTATATAAAGAGTGGACAAACAATAACAACAATAGAATAACAATAGGGGTCAGGTCCTAACACCCTTACCCCCCAAGTAAGTTTTTTGAACAATGAGAAAAAAAACTTTCAGAAAAAAAGGATCAAATAACAAAAGAAAAGAGTAACTCTCAAGAAAAAAAGAAAAAGAAAAATAAATATCGAAAATAAACATATCTGTTGTAAATATTGTTTTATGCTTATTACTTGATCAAAAAGACTAGATTGATAATTGATGTCGACTTGCAAATATATAGGAATATAAAGATCCATCATTAGTACCAAAAAAAATTCCATCATTATATGTTATTGTTGTTATACTTATATTATCCGATATATTTAATGTATCATAATTTTTTTTTTTTCACATATTCTTAAATTCCATACAACACATGAACCATTTATTAAACCAATAATTAACATTTGTGATGAATAAAATAATTTATTAAATAATTGTTCATCAGATAAACTTGTTGTTGTAAATACATCTGTACCGGTTATAATATCACCTACTGTAACTGTTCTTGATGATATATATGCAAGAAAAAAGACCATCAGAACGTAATGATAATAAAAAAATAGGTAATGATGATGATGTTAATGTTAATTGTTTTAAATATGTCGCCAGTTTGAAAATTATATATATATTGATCCATATACAAATATAAGATGAATGGAAGGTAATATCATATTGCATATGAATAATTGATGATAAATGATAATTTGTTTGAAATATATAACTATCATTATGAATAAAAATAAGATTTTTTTTTTTTTTTTTTTTTTTTTAATGACCATATACGTAAAGTTGCATCATTTAATAATATATATAAAAGTGTTGTTGTTGATCGATTTGTTATACATAAATCTGTTATAATATCATCATGTAAACTTGTGATAATAATGACGTTGTAACACGAACAAATGAGAGAGAAAAAAAAAAACAAACAAACAAAAAAAACTTTAACTAAAGAAAAAAAAGACAACATAATAACAAAAATAAGAGAAAAAAAAAATTTTTTTTTTGTTAATGTTCTTGTCGACGATATTGTTGATAATGAAATTTATCAAATAAATCACCAGGTATGCGATCAAAATATAAGTCCACTAAAGATGATTTTTTCATTCCAATTGATAAAATTCGTGAAGATTTATCGAGTTTTGGATGAACATATCGAACATCACGATCACGAAGAATATTTTTAATTTGCTTTAATGTAAATCGATGATAGACGTTTCGATAAATGATATGTCGATCACGATATGAACGTTTGACCATATTACGTTTACGATTACGACGTATTCTTGCTGTTGTTGATCGACATTTGCGACGTGGTTGAGGTAGTTCGTTAGAAGATAATTCTTGATCAGATGGAATAAGTTCTATAACATCATTTTCAGGAATTGCAGTAGAAAAAACGTCAACATGCCGAGTTGTATTAACTAATTGATCTGTATCATGATGCCTAGAAAGAGATGAAATAAATACTTCATCATCCTCACCTTCATCGTCAGAAATGTCTTCTAATAAATTTGATAAAGGTAATGATGAACGAAGTAGAGCATTTGAAATAGATAATGATGTTGATTTTGTTTCATTTTCATCTTCAGAAATATTTTCCAATAATGTTGATGAAGATAATGATGAAGAATGAGGTGGAGCATTCGAAGTAAATAAAGATATTAATTCTGCTTCACGAAGTTGAGTTAACGTCCATTTATCATAAATTGCTTGATGTAATAAGGTAACTGCAAAGCAATCATAAATTGCATAATTAATTCGTTTACATCGTTCATATGATGATAATGGTGAATAATTTGGATCTAACATAATATTCCAATTCTTTTTTGTTGATGATTTATCAAGAAAACGATTAACAGTATAACGGATCGCATTTTGTAATGACCACTTGTCTGTTGATTTAACATAAGGGAAATTGCTTGTACAAATGCATCGAGATTTTGAAGACATGGCCTTGTTCGAGGATTGAATCGAGCCACATGCCTCGCACGGAGGCAGTGCCCTTCGATACCAACCAGGAAATTCATCTTGCAAATTAATACATAATGCTGACACTGGCCATGTAAATAAATTCATTTGAATAGCAGATTTTAATTCGTCAGACATCGATCCCCAAGAAAAAATAATATTTCCTAAACGAAATAAAAGACTAAATAATAATTTAATTTTACCCATTAATGATGAATCTGATGGAGGTAGATGGTTAATTTCAAATAATACAATAAATGATGGTAAATGTTGAGGAATCGAATGAACTTGAATAAGAGATAAATCATATGTAAACCGATCTGATTCTGTATCAATTGAATATCTATAACATGATTCGAAATGATTAATTAATGTTGAAATAGTATCATTGGTAGTAAATCGATGAACATGTACAATATTGTAAAACGATGATGGAATAGTAAATGGAAGATAATTACGTCGATAATCATGATTTTGTTCTTCTAAACGAATATTACGACAATGGCGACTTTGTGCTTTACTACTTGAACCACGTGACGATTCCATTCGATTACGACTAGATGAGTGAGAACGAAAGGACATAACAGTACATACACAAACAACAGAAAGGAAAGAAAATCAATGATAACAAATAAAGTTATATGACAATGTGTATCACTATCAAAAAGAAGTGGGGAAAAGATGAAAGAACAGAAAGGAAAAGGTAAATTCAAATCAACAGAATCGTCTTATAGCTAAGAATAAATAGAAAAGAAAAAAAATACAGAAATAGATAGAGGGCGCAAAGTATAACATGAACAACACAAATAAACGTACAATAAGAAAAAAAAAGAATGTAAATCAATAACTATAGGTTAAAATAAAATTGTTTTATGATAATAATATCGGACGTATATCATTCACATGTACACGAGTAATTTGATCATTTAATTGATCTCGAACGTAATAAGTTGGATGTTGTTTTTGAATAATAATTTTTGGAGTCAATGAGTAGCGTGGATCTAATTTTGATCTTGAACCATGAATTCTAATCAAAACTTTATCATTAATTTCATATTGTGGATTGCTTCGATTTTTATCATAATATTTTTTATTGATCATATGAGAATAAATTGATTGTTTTTGAGCATTTTGTTGGATAATTTTAAGACTTTTCTTTAATTGATTGTAATAATCTGATGGCTTGTAAAAAACATAATTTGATGTTGTATCTGTAGGCATACGTGCATCATGACCAAATTGTAATTGAAATGGAGAATGTTGAGTAGCTGCATGGATACCTGTATTGTATGCAAATACCACTGATTGTAAATATTCATCCCAATTGTTGTTCTCACGATCATGAAGTTTAGCCAATTGGGGCACAAAAGTTGCATTAAAACGTTCAACCATTCCATTACTTTGTGGATGGTAAACAGTAGATAATATATGATTATATCCAATTAATTGAGCCATTGATTCCATTAATTGATTGTTGAAATGTGTGCCTTGATCAGTTAAAATTGATACTGGCACACCATATCGACAGATATATTCATTAAAAATTGTTTGAGCCGTTGTCTGAGCAGTACAGTCAGGTAAAGCAATGGCAGTGATCCATCGAGTAAAATAATCAGTGATGCATAACACATATTGATTTTCTCTTGGAGTACGTTTAAATGGTCCACAATAATCAATACCAATCAACTGAAAAGGTCCAGTTGGTGTTTCAATTGGACAAAGTAAACCAGGTCTTTTTGATCGACTAACGTTGTATTGTTGGCATGGTAAACAAGACTTGATAAATTGAGTAATAGATTGTTTCATATCCGGCCACCAATATTTATTCTTTAATTTGTAATATGTACGTCGTATTCCAAAATGTCCAGCTAATGGGTCTGAATGATAAGCCTTGAGAAGAGAATTAATCATAGATGCAGGTATATAAATTAATTTAATTTTTGTAATACTTCGTAAATTCGTCGGCATCAATTTATACAATAATCCTTCGTGCAAAACAAATGAACCACGTGTAGGATTTTGTTGAATTTCTTTAACCTTTTCCTGAATAACAGGATCTTTTGCTTGTTCCAATTTAATTTGTTTTATATCAAATTGATTACAAATATATGAATTAACTTGTGATTGAGATGATAAATCCTTGAATTGTTCTAATGAAGATGAATCTGATTCTTTTTCCGATGGTAATAAAGATCTGTCCAGTTCAGATTCTTGCTGAACAAGTTGTTTCTTCATTGAACGTGTAACAACAGCACCTATAACAGAATAGTTATCAACGGGAACAGACGCCGAAACCGGCGGTTCCTCAATAAATAGTGTACGAATACCATAGTCTTCTTCAAATATTTCTTCAGGTTCAGATTGTATTGGATTACGAGATAAATAATCAGCAAGACAATTCTGTTGTCCTTTAATGTGAATAATTTTTTCAATATTGTATTCTTGTAATAACATAGAGATCCGATCAACTCTTCTATTCTTCACAGACTTATTCATCATATTACATAAAGGACAATGATCCGTGTAAATGATGATTGATCTTCCTAATAAATATGAACGCATACGTTGAAAACATGCCCATATAGCCAATGCTTCTAGCTCGATTGGATCATATCTCCTCTGGGTGGGAGAAGTAATTTGAGAATGATAATATAAATTTTTTGTTTCACCATTAATCACTTGTTGTAATATACCACCAATGCCAACTTTAGATGCATCCGTAGTTAAAATTACCGGGTAATCATCGTTCGGGAACTGAAGAAATAAGGGTTGATTAATTAATAATTGCTTCAATCGAAGAAATGCTTCATGTTGAGAATGTCCCCATACAAATTTCTTTCGATTTGGTTTTGTTAAGTTCGTTACTGAGATAATTGGCGCTGCTACAGATGCAAATTGAGGTATAAATTTTCGATACCAAGAAAGACCACCAATAAATTTATTAGCTGCTGCTAATGTTGTAGGTTCACGTAAATTCATCATTACTTGAATCTTTTCTGTGTTAGGTTTCACTCCAAACTGTGAAACAGTATGTGATAAATAATCTATTTGTCGATGTAGTACAAAACATTTGGATAAATTTAATTGTAAATTATGATTGGATAAAATAGATAATATTTGAGTTAAATGATTAACATGTTCTTCATAGGTGCGAGAAAATATCACAATATCATCAATGTATACCAATGAGAATTGTCGGCATGGAGATAATATATCTAACATTACTCGTTGAAATGATGGAGGGCTATTCTTTAAACCTTGAGGTAATACATTCCATTCATATAGCCCATCTGGAGTAATGAATGCCGTTTTGTGTCTATCTTCTTCTATAATTGGAATTTGCCAAAAACCACTTTTCATGTCCAACTTAGAGAAGAATTGATATCCTCCTCCTAATATTTGGATCGTTTGTTCCATATTAGGTAAAGGATGATTATCTTTGATAGTGATGCTGTTCAATTTCTTGTAATCAACTACCATCCGCCAAGTATTATCCTTCTTAGGTACTAACATTGCTGGAGCAGCATAATTAGAATAAGATTGACGAATAAGACCAGATTGTAATAATTCTTGAATAATGTTGTGCATGGCTTCTTGTTTTTGTGGTGTAGAATAATAAGCCTTTGATGTTGGTGGTGGATGATCAATTGTTTTTATTTCATGAGGTTTAACATTGAAAGCAATCGTTGATTTCTTCGTATCAAATAATTTGCCATAACGAATGAGAATTTGTTTCACTTGGTATTGTTGATCGTGATCATTAATATGTTCTACCAAACGATCAATATGTGTATCGAGTAATTTAGTTTGCATAATTGAAATTCCAATTGATATTGGTTTTGATGTTGGAGTTGTTTCAAAAATAATCTTTTCACTATTATCAATAGGTATAGTCAAGCGATAATTCTTAACACCTATCGATATTGTTCGATTAACAGTATTGATAATTAATTTATATTTAATGATAAAATCCATACCAAGTATACAATTAACACAAAGATTCTTCACAATAAGTGCTCGAATTGATGTGTAAACATTATTCATAACGAATGATAAATCCACCTCACCATAAACAGTAATAGATGTAGATCCATCAGCTAAAAACACCTGTCGTTGAATTCGATTAATAATTCTGCTGTTTCGAATCGAATTCAATGCATTCTTTGAGATAAAAGTTCGATTAGCACCAGTATCAATCATTAATTTCATTTGTTGATCATAAACATAAGCATTAAGATAAATTAAAGGAAAAGAAATATATTGTGATGGGTTTTCATATTGATTCTTGGAAGCAACACCATCAATCGATGCTTCCATTAATGGAAATGGGAACGGGCGCAATCCCGTGAATAATGTCCGGGAGTCCCACAAGTATAACAAACACCTGATGATCTTTTTGACGTCGTATTTCTTGATGAACTAGAATATGAAACATTATTATTACGAGAATTATTCATACGACCTGATGTAGAAGTTTGTAATTGTGGTTGATGAACATTAGTGTGACGATTATCAATATCTTGTGGAGGATTAATTGTCGATGCTGTTGGTTGACGATCATAACTTGTATTCTGATGATTATCATATTGATTCAAATCATAATCTGTATTGGTTAATGATAATGTATCTTCTAGTTTCCTAGCATAAGATAAAAATGTTTCAGGAGATTGTGGATCGTATAATGCAATATGTAATTTTAATGATTGTTTAACACCTGCCATTAAATATTGTAATTTCATAGAATCAGTCATTGATGTATCAACTCTTTTACATAATTCGATAACTTTATCATAATATTGTGTAATAGATTGATTAATCGCTTGTTTATATGTTCGCAGTTGTTCAAATGTTAATTCTTTCATTTTGGTTGATCCGAAAGCTTGTTTAATTGCTTCAACAAAATGTGACCAAGTCGTAATTTTTGCTGATGATTGATTCCACCAACGATACGCATCTTCTTGTAAATGAATTGATATATATTGTAATTTAAGTTCATCATTCCAGTTAGCCATTATGAATCGTTGTTCTAATTTTTCTAACCATTCAATAACATCATCCTTTGCACCACGAAAATATGTTGGAGATTTGATGATCTCTCTTGCCATGGTAATAGAAAGAGCTGATGATAATGATGAATTAATTTCA